AAGCACTTACTGTTCAAGCACATCCCCTCCCTCATGACTCCCACTGGATGAAGCCCTGAATGGCCTCTTCCTGCCCTGCTGCAGCCTCACCTCAAACCATCTCCCCCTGTCTCTCCAGTGCCAGCCCCGGCGGCCGAGCTTCTGTCACTTCCTCCATGGTCTCTCCCACTTCCTCTTCTCCCTCCCACCCCCTCCCCAGGCTGCGCTGGTGCCGATCACTTAGTGCTGAGAAAAACACAAGGCAGTTTGACAACAGGAAGAAAACGGGGGGACTGAGGAGGAGGAAGAGAAAGCTTGGGCTGGGGGGCAGAGGCCTCTCAGAAGGAAGGCACAGCCTATCTGTGCACTAGCCCATGCCTAGTGTCACTAGAGGGCACACGCGGTGGGGGGCTGGGGGAGGAAGGATGCAGCCTTGAATGCTAACGTCAGTAATCTGGATCTCAACTATGCCCGAAAAGACTTCCAATTTCACTTTCACAGGAAGAGGAACTTCTTTTTTTTCCCTTCTCCAACCAATATTTTATTGAATGTTTTCCATGGCCCGGGTCCTGTGAAAAGAGGAATCCAAAGCTGGACCAGCCCTAATTCATGTCCTCTGGGCCAGTGATTCCCCAAACCTGGCTAATGAACAGAATGGGAGATTTCCACACACACGTCAAGTCCCAGGCCCAGAATATCACCTTTCTGTGGCTTTCCTTACCAAAGACAAGATGGGCTGAAATTCTCAAGAAAGGGTCCACTAAACCAAGAGAAAACAAAAAGGATATCAACGCATAGAGTGCTTGAAAAATTAATCACACTTCTCCACAGATTCCAAAGCTCCCAAACCAACAGGTCGTCTTTCTGTTCACACCCCCTACACACCTGAGAAATCTGCAAGCAAGCCCAAAGTAGAGTCGTAATTTCCAAGGCCACTCACCCTGCTACCAGCGGCGTTTGGAGATCATCGAGATATTCTGGTGGTGAAAACTATCTTCCTCCACTTTGCTGCTTCACCATCCATTCTGTGTCTCTCCCCCTCCCCCTCCCTCTCCACGCTCCTCCAGTTTCAAACACAGTAGAGTAACAGAAGGCAGGGGCATGAAGCAGGAGGAGAAATTTTATATTTTCATCAGAAGCTGCCAACACTTGACAGATACGCTGCAGCCTTTCTTAACTAAATATTTCTAAATTCTCACGCTTTGGAGGGTTACCTAGGAAGTGGCCTTCCTTAGATCTCTGGTTGGGAGGAATCCCTCCCTGCCTCTTCTATATTTCTTCCTCTCATCAGGCAGTTGTATTTATTACTTGCTATTATGGCAATTGGTTCTAGACTGTGAAATCCTTAAAACCTGGGTAATTTTCTGGTTCGTCTTTTTCTCCACATAGCCAGTTGCAGTGTTGTGCATGGGGCAGATGGCACATGAATAGCTGTCCAACAAAGTGGGTAAATGAGAAATGAGTAGCAAAAGAGTACAATTAACCTGAGAAAAACTTCACTGTGGTGGTTGGGAAAGGTGTATGTAGATGCACTGCTCATTTCCTGCCCCTTCGTTATCTGCAGAAACAGTTTTCCTGCCTTGCGTCCACCCCTAGAGGAATAAGGACATTTTTATAAAAAAATGTTAAATCATGTCACCTCTGGAACGAATTGCCCTGCATGTGCAATTCCAGAAAACAGTTCACCAAAGCTTCATGACTATACCAAGTCATCCATACTGTTTGTATTTCTGGTATGCTTTGTTCCTTTGTGTAGATCCCTGTTTCCAGCTGGAATAATTTTCCTTCTGCTTGATGGACCTCTTTTAACATTTTCTGTAAATGCTGGAGATGAATTATTTTAGCTTTGGATGTCTGAAAAACTCTTGACACCCTTGCTGGCCACAGAATTCTGAGTGTGTGTGTGTGTCTTTCAGTATTTTAAAGGCTTGCCCCCTTGTCTCCTCACTTGCCTTGTTTCCAAAGAGAAATCTGTTGTCATCCTTATTTTTTTTTGTTCCTCTGCCTGTAACATGACTTTTTTCTTTGGATATATTTAAGATTTTCTCTTTATCACTGCTTTTTAGCAATTTAATTATGATGTGCTTTGGTGTATTTTCCTTGTGTCTGTTGTGCTTGGGATTCATTGAGCTTCTTGGAGCTATGGATTTATAGTTTTCATCAAGTCTAGAAAATTGTCTGCCATTACTTCTTCCAATATTTTTCCTGTACCATCATCCCCTTATCCTTCAGAAATTCCACTTCGATATAGATTAGATTGCTTGAGGTTGTACCATGACTTAACTGGTGCTGTTAATTTTTCCCCCACTCTGGGTTTCATTGTGGATACTTTCTGTTGCTATGTCTTTAAATTTTTATCTGCTATGTCTAATCTGCTGTGAATCCCAGTCAGCATATTTTAAAATCTCAGACATCATTGTGCAATTGGGGTCTTTTTTTGTATCTTCTATATTTCTATTTTTTTTAAATAGTCTTCATTTTTAAAAGCAGTTTTAGGTTCACAAGGAAAACTGAGTGGAAGGTAGAGCTCCCATATACTCCCTACCCCAACACATGCATAGCCTCCCCAGCTATTGACATCCCCCACCAGAGTGGTACAACTGTTACAATTGATATGAACCTATATTGGCACATCATTATCACCCAAAGCCCACATTCACATTAGGGTTCACTCTTGGCGTTATACATTCTATGAGTTTGGACAAGTGTATAATGACATGTATCAATACATTAACATATAGAATAGTTTTACTTACTGCCCTAAACATTTGTTGTGCTTTGCCTATTCATCCTTTACTTAACATTTTGAAATATGGAATAGTTATAATAATTATTTAGTTAATAACTAGTTTTAATGTCCTTGTCTGCAAATCCTAATATGTGTGTTGGTTCTGGGTCAGTTTCAATTGGTATTTTTCCTGTTTCTTTTCATGCCAGGTAATTTTTTTTTTATTAATTTATTTATTTTTGGTTGCATTGGGTCTTCGTTGCTGTGCGCAGGCTTTCTCTAGTTGCGGTGGGTGGGGGTTATTCTTCATTGCAGTGTGCGGGCTTCTCATTGCAGTGGCTTCTCTTGTTGCAGAGCACGGGCTTTAGGCACACGGGCTTCAGTAGTTATGGCACGCGGGTTCAGTAGTTGTGGCTTGAGGGGTCTAGAGCGCAGGCTTAGTAGTTGTGGCACCAGGCTTAGTGGCTCCACGGCATGTGGGATCTTCCCGGACCAGGGCTTGAACCCATGTCCCCTGCATTCACAGGCGGATTCTTAACCACTGCACCACCAGGCAAGTCTCCATGCCTGGTAATTTTTGATTGGATACCAGACATTGTGGATTTTATGTGATTGGTTGCTGGATACTTTTTATATTCCCATAAATAAGCTTTTTTCTAGGATGTGGTGAACTCTGGGTACTCTACATAATGACCCTGAATCATGAGGTTTTCCAGTATGGCTTCTGAGAATAGCCACTGTTCCCAACACCGTGTGAGTTCTAAGGATTGCTCCCTTTTATCCACTCAGATAATCCTTTCTCACCTTGGAGCATTTCCTCACACACATGCCCTGATGAGTGCTTAGCCAAGTACTCCAGAAGGATTCTCTGCAGACCTCTGGGCCTTTCTCTCTCATCTCCAATAGGCTACATTCTGAATTCCAGCCCCCTTGGCATGCCTGATTTCCCAGTTTCATCTTCTCAGCTTGGGGAGTCCACGGGGCACCGCCTGGTTTCCCCTCCCTAAGCCTCAGCCTGGAGACTGTCTCCAGGCAGTAAGCTGGGCAAACATGGGGTTCACCTCCCATGTTTACCATCTCTCAGGGAACACTGCCCTTTGTTACCTCATGTCCAGAATCTTGAGAACTGTTGTTTCATTGATTTTATCTTGTCTTTGGTTTTGTTTTTTGTTTTTTTTCCTTTTTCCTCAGGCAGGACAGGAAGGTAAATATAGTCCCTTCTACTCCATTTGGCAGGATAAAAGCAGGATTCTACATCATTTATTTGGATAAAGTGTGGTCAATATATATGATGGGATATCATACAACCCTGATGGGGATTCCTTAAGCAGTCACAAAAGATTATATATTGTATGATTCTATTTATATGACACATCCTGAATAGGCAAATCTATACAGTCAGAAAGCAGATTAGTGGTTGCCAAGAGCTGGGGATATGGGGGAAGTGGGAGGCTGAAGGCTAAAGGGTATGGAGTTTCTTTTCTGGGTGATGAAACTGTTCTGAAATTGATTGCGGTAATGATTGTACGACTATGCACATACTGAAAACCATTGAATTGTACACTTTGAATGGGTGAATGGTATATGAATTATATCTCAAAGCTCTCACAAAAGGAAGGAAATACACTTGAGCTACAGGGTTTAGTAAAGGTCAATTTCAAAAACATGCGTGGGTTGGCGGGGTGGGCAATCAGGCGGCAGAAGGATCCTCCTGTGCACAGACACTGTTTATAATTAAGTTTAAAAACATGCAAAACAATTCTCTAGGGACTTCCCTGGTGGCGCAGTGGTTAAGAATCTGCCTGCCAATTCAGGGGACACGGGTTTGAGCCCTGGTCCGGGAAGATTCCACATGCCGCGGAGCAACTAAGCCCGTGCGCCACAACCACTGAGCCTGCGCTCTAGAGACCGTGAGCCACAACTACTGAAGCCTGCACACCTAAAGCCCGTGCTCCGCAACAAGAGAAGCCACAGCAATAAGCCCGCGCAATGCAACGAAGAGCAGCCCCCACTCGCCACAACTACAGAAAGCCCACACGCAGCAACAAAGACCCAACACAGCCAAAAATAAATTAACTAATTAAAGCAAAATAAAAAAAAATTCTCTAGACTATGCTCAGGGTTGCCTATGGTACAGAGAAATGGTCCACACACTAAAACCAGGTGCTGGTTCCCTCTGGAAGAATGCAGAGGAAATGAGGGTGCGAGGTACAAAGGGTGGCAATTTTATCTCTACACTTTTCTTTAAGAGCTTTGTTTCTTTTTTTTTTTTTTTTTTTTGGTGGGCCACAGGGCTTGTGGGATCTTAGCTCCCCAAGCAGGGATCCAACCGGGCCCCCTGCAGTGGAAGCACGGAGTCTCACCCATTGGACCACCAGGGAAGTCCCTTTACGAGCTTTCTTAATAAGATTACTTGTCAGATAAATCACCCACATTTCGCCTGATGTCAGTGCCTCTCCATCCCTGCGCAGGCCGAGCACCTCACAGCGAACGCCAGCCCCACGGACCCTGACTTCCCATCTCTGATGCAGAAAGAACGCCGGAGAGTTTAAAAAAAACAACCCTTGAAGCTTGTTTTCTGCTTCCCTTGGGAAAGCGCAACTATCCCACCACACTTGCCCGTGCTGCGTCTCCCCCAACCTTCCCAAAGCCCCAGAAAATCTTACCGAGCTGGTGCAGGCTGCAGTCAGCGGAACCTCGCGGGCCCAGCGGTCCGCATCACTCTCTCCGCAGCTCCGCCGGGCCGCCACGCCCCCGCCACGAGCTCCCGCACTAGCTCAGCTGCAGCCCGCCCGCAGCCTCCAACAAGTAATGCCAAGGTCATGATAACCCACACCTGCGGGCCGCACGCCCACCTCTTAACACACCAGGCGGGGATTAAACCTTTCGTCAAGCCTGTCCTCTCACTCCAGCTGGCGCCCCTGCCTGAGCGCTCACTTTCTGCCAGCCTGGCCCCCCAGTGCAGAGAGCCCGACCACCCACGGGTGGGGGCTGGGAGCAGGGCTGTGCTCAGGGGACCACGCATCCTTAGGGCGGGACTCCAGGGCCCTGCCCGGCGCCCAGGCCTTGGCTCTGCCAGTTCCTCTGCCTGGGACCGCTTCCGCGACCCCACCCTGTTGCCTACTCATTCTTTTTAATTTCTAAAAAACTGTGAAATGTCACCTCCGTAAAGAAAAGCACATAGCACAAATGTACAGTGTAACAAATCACTAGAAAGGGACACCTGGGTAACCGGCAGTCAGGTCAAGAGACAGAACACCTACCTGTTCTTTAAAAACATACTTTTAAAAATTATGAAACGTTTTGAGCATAAAGCACAGAGAATAAAACAAACATCTGCAGACCCTCCACCAAGCTCTATGAACCTCTGATGGTTTTCTGTACATGCTTCAAAATTTTTTTGAAAGAGGTAAAGCATTACAGACAGAAGCCAAGCCCTTCGGTAGTCTCTGGAGCCCAGGTCTCCCCCCACCCCTACCCTTCAGAGGACCCAGCATCCTGCGTCCTGGTTGCACCCTCTGACTCCTGGAGTTCTGGGCGCTTCACACAGAAGCTTGCATCCCTGAGCTCGTGCAGCTCTGTGCTGCCCTATTTCATCACCCCACACATATTCTTCCACATTTCCTCTTAACGTGGGTTTGAGAGTCAGTCGGTGTTGAAGCTGGCAGCCCTGTCCACTGTGAAGGCAGAGGCTCCATACCCACTGCACGAACTCACCTCCACTTCTCCATTTAGTCTCCTGTGTGGACATTCGGTTGTTTCCAATTTTGCACTTTACAGTGTGGCAATGAACAATCTTACCTGTGTGGCTCGCAGTGTCGCGACCAAGACTTTCTCCAGCAAGAAGGCTGGGTCTTCAGCAGTCCCAAAGGGTGCCAAGTTGCCTTCTGGGGGAATGAGGCCAATTACGTTCCCACGATTGCTAACAGGGACCTGCAGCTTTGCATCTCAGCAAAACTTGGTATTAGCAGACTTTAAAAGTGTTGTAGGTCCGACAGTGGGACCTACTCATTCTTTGGATCTCAGGATTAAATGTCTCCTCTTCCAGGAGGCCTTTCCAGTCCCTGTTGCCCTCCCAGGAAGAGCCGGTACTTCCTCTGTCCACCCACAGCCCCAGCGGACACCCTGACCCCCACCCTCCCCTGTACTGTAATTTGCTTACAGACCTGCCTCCCCCAGGAGACCACAAGCCTGTTCCTCATTTGCACAGTTTCCCACCATCCTGCAGAGCCCTGACATGCAGTCAGTGCTTACTAAATGCTCACAGAGTGAATTGACGAGTCCAGCCTTCATTTCAGAGACATGACCACAAATACACTAGAAAAGCCTCCAATGCAGGATCTGACCTTAGTAGCTGCTCAAGAAACATCAGCCCAACCTGTGTATCTGCATCCTGGACGTGATTTGGGGGCTCCCAGGAGGCTCTCCAGCTCTGCCTCTGGAACATGCTGGGCAAGGTCCTGAGGAGTGAGGGAGAGGTTTTAGTGTGGCCCTAAGACCAAACAAGAGGGGGTGGAGAAAGGGAGACCTCCAGGCATCTGTCGCTCCTTCTGCTGCTGTGGCAACTTGCAATGGAATTTTGTGACAGTGGGAATTACTACCTTTCATGTCATTTGATTTTAGTTTTTTCCAAGAACTGGGGCTTTTTTTTTTTTGAATTTTCTTTTATTTATTTTTTTATACAGCAGGTTCTTATTAGTCATCCATTTTATACACATCAGTGTATACATGTCAATCCCAATCTCCCAATTCATCACACCACCACCCTCACTCCCCTGCCGCTTTCCCCCCTTGGTGTCCATACATTTTTTCTCTACTTCTGTGTCTCTATATCTGCCCTCCAAACCGGTTCATCTGTACCATTTTTCTAGGTTCCACATATATGCAGTAATATGCAATATTTGTTTTTCCTTTTCTGACTTACTTCACTCTGTATGACAGTCTCTAGATTCATCCACATCTCTACAAATGACCCAGTTTTGTTCCTTTTTATGGCTGAGTTATATTCCAGTGTATATATGTACCACCTCTTCTTTATCCATTCATCTGTCAATGGGCATTTAGGTTGCTTCCATGACCTGCCTATTGTAAATAGTGCTCCAGTGAACATTGCGGTGCATGTGTCTTTTTGAATTACGGTTTTCTCTGGGTATATGCCCAGTAGTGGGATTGCTGGATCATATGGTAATCCTATTTTTAGTTTTTAAGGGAACCTCCGTACTGTTCTCCACAGTGGCTGTATCAATTTACATTCCTATCAACAGTGCAAGAGGGTTCCCTTTTCTCCACACCCTCTCCAGCATTTGTTGTTTGTAGATTTTCTGATAATGCCCATTCTAACTGGTGTGAGGTGATACCTCATCGTAGTTTTGATTTGCATTTCTCTAATTATTAGTGATGTTGAGCAGCTTTTCATGTGCTTCTTGGCCATCTGTATGTCTTCTTTGGAGAAATGTCTATTTAGGTCTTCTGCCCATTTTTGGATTGGGTTGTTTGTTTTTTTAATATTGAGCTGCATGAGCTGTTTATATATTTTGGAGATTAATCCTTTGTCCGTTGATTCGTCTGCAAACATTTTTTCCCATTCTGAGGGTTGTCTTTTCGTCTTGTTTGTAGTTTCCTTTGCTTGGGAAAAGCTTTTAAGTTTCATTAGGTCCCATTGGTTTATTTTTGTTTTTATTTCCATTACTCTAGGAGGTGGATCAAAAAAGATCTTGCTGTAATTTATGTCAAAGAGTGTTCTTCCTGTGTTTTCCTCTAAGCGTTTTATAGTGTCCGGTCTTACATTTAGGTCTCTAATCCATTTTGAGTTTATTTTTGTGTATCGTGTTAGGGAGTGTTCTAATTTCATTCTTTTACATGTAGCTGTCCAGTTTTCCCAGCACCACTTATTGAAGAGATGGTCTTTTCTCCATGGTATATCCTTGCGTCGTTTGTCATAAATTAGTTGACCATAGGTGCGTAGGTTTATCTCAGAGCTTTCTATCCTGTTCCATTGATCTATATTTCTGTTTTTGTGCCAGTACCATATTGTCTTGATTACTGTAGCTTTGTCGTATAGTCTGAAGTCAGGGAGTCTGATTCCTCCAGCTCCGTTTTTTTCCCTCAAGACTGCTTTGGCTATTCGGGGTCTTTTGTGTGTCCATGCAAATTTTAAGATTTTTTTGTTCTAGTTCTGTAAAAAATGCCATTGGTAATTTGATAGGGATTGCATTGAATTTGTAGATTGCTTTGGGTAGTATATTCATTTTCACAATATTGATTCTTCCAATCCAAGAACATGGTATGTCTCTCCATCTTTTGGTTTCATCTCTAATTTCTTTCAACAGTGTCTTACAGTTTTCTGCATACAGGTCTTTTGTCTCCCTAGGTAGGTTTATTCCTAGGTATTTTATTATTTTTGTGGCAATGGTAAATGGGAGTGTTTCCTTAATTTCTCTTTCAGATTTTTCATCATTAGTGTATAGGAATGCAAGAGATTTCTGTGCATTAATTTTGTATCCTGCAACTATACCAAATTCATTGATGAGCTCTAGTAGTTTTCTGGTGGCATCTTTAGGATTCTCTATGTATAGTATCATGTCATCTGCAAACAGTGACAGTTTTACTTCTTCTTTTCCAATTCGGATTCCTTTTATTTCTTCTCTGATTGCCGTGGCTAGGAAGTCCAAAACTGTGTTGAATAAAAGTGGCAAGAGTGGACATCCTTGTCTTGTTCCTGATCTTAGAGGAAATGCTTTCAGTTTTTCACCATTGAGAATGATGTTTGCTGTGGGTTTGTCATATATAGCCTTTATTATGTTGAGGTAGGTTCCCTCTATGACCACTTTCTGGAGAGGTTTTTATCATAAATGGGTGTTGAATTTTGTCAAAAGCTTTTTCTGCATGTATTGAGATGATCATGTGGTTTTTATTCTTTAATTTGTTTATATGGTGTATCACATCCTTTGATTTGCATATATTGAAGAATCCTTGCATCCCTGGGTTAAATCCCACTTGATCATGGTGTATGATCCTTTTAATGTGTTGTTGGATTCTGTTTGCTAGTATTTTTTTGAGGATTTTTGCATCTATATTCATCAGTGATATTGGTCTCTAGTTTTCTTTTTTTGTAGTATCTTTGTCTGGTTTTGGTATCAGTGTGGTGATGGCCTCATAGAATGAGTTTGGGAGTGTTTCTTCCTCTGCCATTTTTTGGAAGAGTTTGAGAAGGATGGGTGTTAGCTCTTCTCTAAATGTTTGATAGAATTCACCTGTGAAGCCATCTGGTCCTGGACTTTTGTTTGTTGGAAGATTTTTAATCACAGTTTCAATTTCATTACTTGTGATTGGTCTGTTCATATTTTCTAGTTCTTCCTGGTTCAGTCTTGGAAGATTATACCTTTCTAAGAATTTGTCCATTTCTTCCAGGTTGTCCATTTTATTGGCATAGAGTTGCTTGTAGTAGTCTCTTAAGACACTTTGTATTTCTGCGGTGTCTGTTGTAACTTTTCCTTTTTCATTTCTAATTTTATTGATTTGAGTCCTCTCCCTCTTTTTCTTGATGAGTCTGGCTAATGGTTTGTCAATTTTGTTTATCTTCTCGAGGAATCAACTTTTAGTTTTATTGATCTTTGCTGTTGTTTTCTTTGTTTCTATTTCATTTATTTCTGCTCTGATCTTTATGATTTCTTTCCTTCTGCTAACTTTGGGTTTTGTTTGCTCTTCTTTCTCTAGTTCCTTTAGGTGTAATGTTAGATTGTTTATTTGAGATATTTCCTGTTTCTTGAGGTAGGCTTATATAGCTATAACCTTCCCTCTTAAAACTGCTTTCGCTGCATCCCATAGGTTTTGGATCATTGTGTTTTCATTATCATTTGTATTTTTTGATTTCTTCTTTGATTTCTTCAGTGATCTCTTGGTTATTTAGTAATGTATTGTTTAGCCTCCATGTGTTTGTGTTTTTTACGTTTTTTTCCCTGTAACTGATTTTTAAAAAAATTTTATTGGAGTATAGTTGATTTACAATGCTGTGTTAGTTTCAGTTGTACTCCCCTCTGTTTCTTTTTTAAAAAACTTAATTAGTTTATTTATTTTTGGTTGTGTTGGGTCTTTGTTGCTGCACACGGGCTTTCTCTAGTTCCCTGTAATTGATTTCTAATCTCATAGCGCTGTGGTCAGAAAAGATGCTTGATATGATTTCAATTTTCTTAAATTTACTGAGGCTTGATTTGTAACACAAGATGTGATCTATCCTGGAGAATGTTCCATGCACACTTGAGAAGAAAGTGTAATCTGCTGTTTGTGGATGGAATGTCCTGTAAATATCAATTAAATCTATCTAGTCTGTTGTGTCATTTAAAACTTGTGTTTCCTTATTAATTTTCTGTTTGGATGATCTGTCCATTGGTGTAAGTGAGGTGTTTAAGTCCCCCAGTATTATTGTGTTACTGTCGATTTCCTCTTTTAGAGCTGTTAGCAGTTGCCTTATGTATTGAGGTGCTCCTATGCTGGGTGCATATATATATTAATAATTTATAATAATTTATAACATTTATAATTGTTATATCTTCTTCTTCGATTGATCCCTTGATCATTATGTAGTGTCCTTCCTTGTCTCTTGTAACATTCTTTATTTTAAAGTCTATTTTATCTGATATGAGTATTGCTACTCCAGCTTTCTTTTGATTTCCATTTGCATGGAATATCTTTTTCCATCCCCTCACTTTCAGTCTGAATGTGCCCCTATGTCTGAAGTGGGTCTCTTGTAGACAGCATATATATGGGTCTTGCTTTTGTATCCATTCAGCAAGCCTGTGTCTTTTGTTTGGAGCATTTAATCCATTCATGTTTAAGGTAATTATCGATATGTATGTTCCTATTACCATTTTCTTAATTGTTTTGGGTTTGTTTTTGTAGGTCCTTTTCTTCTCTTGTGTTTCCCACTTACAGAAGTTCCTTTAGCATTTGTTGTAGAGCTGCTTTGGTGGTGCTGAATTCTCTTAGCTTTTGCTTGTCTGTAAAGCTTTTGATTTCTCCATCGATTCTGAATGAGATCCTTGCTGGGGAGAGTAATCTTGGTTGTAGGTTCTTCCCTTTCATCACTTTAAGTATATCATGACACTCCCTTCTGGCTTGTAGAGTTTTTGCTGAGAAATCAGCTGTTAACCTTATGGGAGTTCCCTTGTATGTTATTTGTCGTTTTTCCCTTGTTGCTTTCAATAATTTTTCTTTGTCTTTAATTTTTGCCAATTTGATTACTATGTGTCTCAGTTTTTCTCCTTGGGTTTATCCTGTATGGGACTCTCTGTGTTTCCTGGACTTGGGTGACTATTTCCTTTCCCACGTTAGGGAAGTTTTCGACTGTAATCTCTTCAAATATTTTCTCGGGTCCTTTCTCTCTCTCTTCTTCTGGGACCCCTATAATGCAAATGTTGTTGCGTTTAATGTTGTCCCAGAGGTCTCTTAGGCTGTCTTCATTTCTTTTCATTCTTTTTTCTTTATTCGGTTCTGCAGCAGTGAATTCCACCATTCTGCCTTCCAGGCCACTTATCTGTTCTTCTGCCTCAGTTATTCTGCTATTGATTCCTTCTAGTGTATTTTTCATTTCAGATATTGTGTTGTTCATCTCTGTTTCTTTGTTCTTTAATTCTTCTAGCTCTTTGTTAAACACTTCTTGCATCTTCTCGATCTTTGCCTCCATTCTTTTTCCGAGGTCCTGGATCATCTTCACTATCATTATTCTGAATTCTTTTTCTGGAAGGTTGCCTATCTCCACTTCATTTAGTTGTCTTTCTGGGGTTTTATCTTGTTCCTTCATGTGGTACAGAGCCCTCTGCCTTTTCATCTTGTCTATCTTTCTGTGAGTGTGGTTTTTGTTCCACAGGCTGCAGGATTGTAGTTCTTCTTGCTTCTGCTGTCTGCCCTCTGGTGGATGAGGCTATCTAAGAGGCTTTTGCAAGTTTCCTGATGGGAGGGACTGGTGCTGGGTAGAGCTGGCTGTTGCTCTGGTGGGCAGAGCTCAGTAAAACTTTAATCCACTTGTCTGCTGATGGGTGGGGCTGGGTTCCCTCCCTGTTCATTGTTTGGTCTGAGGCGACCCAACACTGGAGCCTACCCGGGCTCTTTGGCGGGGTTAATGGCCGACTCTGGGAGGGCTCACACCAAGGAGTACTTCCCAGAACTTCTGCTGCCAGTGTCCTTGTCCTCACGGTGAGACACAGCCACTCCCTGCCTCTGCAGGAGACCCTCCAACACTAGCAGGTAGGTCTGGTTCAGTCTCCTATGGGGTCACTGCTCCTTCCCCTGTGTCCCGATGCGCACACTATTTTGTGTGTGCCCTCCAAGAATGGAGTCTCTGTTTCCCCCAGCCCTGTAGAAGTCCTGCAATCAAATCCCGCTAGCCTTCAAAGTCTGATTCTCTAGGAATTCCTCCTCCCGTTGCTGGACCCCCAGGTTGGGAAGCCTGACGTGGGGCTCAGAACCTTCACTCCAGTGGGTGGACTTCTGTGGGGTATCTTTTTTGGTGAGTTCCAGTGTCTTCCTGTCGATGACTGTTCAGCAGTTAGTTGTGATTCTGGCGTTCTTGCAAGAGGGAGTGAGAGCATGTCCTTCTACTCTGCCATCTTGAACCAGTCCTCTATTTGTACTCATTCTTCAATCCAACTCAAGTTCTGAAATCAATAATGAGTCATACAAGATTTGAGACATTCCTTTTTCATTTTCCTATGACTCATACTTCTTTCTTCCTGGCAGTTTGTTGGGGCGGGGATACGAGGAGGAACTCTCCAAACTCCGGAACTCCACACTCCAGAGGCAGCCCTTTGGACGTGCTGCCTCTCCACTTCTGGGCGGGTCCTAAGCAGAGTCTCTGCCCCACGCTTGAACGTCACCCCACCTAGCAAGAACTGGGGCATTTGACATTCAACTTTTCTTTTTCATAATTTAGAACCACATGAGACCCACCTGCCACTCACATCAGCCTTAGACTCTCATTTTCCTGCTGTGGAGTTGGCTGATGGCCCAAAGCCCACAGTAAGGAAAGCGGAGACGGACCCTGCTTCTAGGTCTGGAACCTACTCCTGACTCGCAGTCTAGGGCTCTTCACTCCATTCCCAACCAGGAAAATTGTGTCCCCTTTCTACAAGATTCCCGGACACTAGCCTGGGCCCAGCCATGCCTTGTACCTACAGCACTGCTGTGAGGCAAACATGCTTGGAGACATGGAAGATGTCCACAGAGTGAAGAATAAGAACAATAGTCTTAGATTTCCTGAGTACTCACTGTGTGCCAGGCTGCACGAAGAGTTTTCCAAGCTTCAGCCTCATAACAACACTGTAAAGCAGGTATTATTATGCCCAAGCTATAGGGGAGGAAACTGAGGCTCAGAGAGGGCAAGTAAGAGTGGAGGGATGGGACAGGCAGGTGTAGACCCAGATCTGACTCCAAGTCTGCATCCCATAGTTTGTCATCAGCGCTGCCATTTCCTGGCCCACGCTAGGTGAGTCTGAGTATGGGTCCAATATAAAAAGGAGCATTTGATATCCAGCTACTGCAAACCTGAGCCAGGGTTTAAAGACAATCTTTCTTTCTTTTTTTAAACATACCTTGTTTCCAAACAGAGCGCTCAAGAACAATTAAGTTAACAAGATCCTTTTCTTTTTCTTTTTTTTTGCAGAGGGTGTGTTTTCACGTAGAAATGCTTTCAGCAGCAGTTTTGTTTTATATTCTGCGGCCTCTTGCTGTGGTTTTGCAGAGCCCTGAGGCAACAGTTTTAAAGGCCTGGATTTGACTTCTCTTTGGGCTTTTCAGCTTTATTTTATTTTATTTAATTTATTTATCTTTGGCTGCATTAGGTCTTCATTGCTGCACGCGGGCTGTCTCTAGTTGCTGTGAGCAGGGGCTACTCTTTGTTGTGGTGCGTGGGCTTCTCACTGTGGTGGCTTCTCTTGTTGCAGAGCACGGGCTCTAGGCGCGGGCTTCAGTAGTTGTGGCACGTGGGCTTAATTGCTCCGCGGCATGTGGGATCTTCCTGGACCAGGGCTCGAACCTATGTTCCCTGCATTGGCAGGAAGATTCTTAACCACTGTGCCACCAGGGAAGTCCCAAAATCCATTTTTAATGGAATGCAAGCATTTTGTGAAATGAGTTATTTTGAACTTATCATTGATGCAAAGTGGGTCTAATTGGCTTAATTTTTGAGACATTCCTTTTTCATTTTCCTATGAAAATGAAACTCATGATTTAAATCCAGGAAGTGGCTCAGAGAGGTTTTGCCAATACTATTGATGGCAGGTTTCTAAAGGTCTGTGGTTGGCCACAGCTGTCTTGCTCTTGAACCACGTCCTAACCCTCAGCTGGGACAGTGGGCCAGTGCCACCTGCCAGCTGGAGGACATTGACTTCTGAGTTCCTGGGGTTTGGTCACCTGTCGCTTCTAATGTCATAAGGCAGGATTGGCAGCCACCCTTGTTTAACCGACTCCTTACCCATGCCCCCAGAGCAGGGGGAGGGGAGCTCATATCAGTCATTCACACCTTAGTAAGGAAGAAATTGGGGAAATGGGATTCTAATTGTGTGATGGATGCTAAGGAATGGGGTTGAGATTTGGGGCAGACCAGAGACCCTCTTAATGCCAGGGGAGCTGTCTAGATGTGTAACCTCCACATCTCTGAATCTCTTCAAAATGGTCCTCGGGCACCTCCTTGCTGGAATATTTCCCCAGGGACTAATGACAGGAGGTGGGTTAGGAACCGAGCACTGTACCTGGCACAAAACGGTCCTCCCTGGGCCTGCAAGCCCGCCGGCCACCAGAGGGCGCTGTAGCTTCCCGGAGCCGCCGCAAGCTCCCTCCCTTAGGGCCCACCGATCTTCCGCCTGTGATGCGCGCTCACGCAGGGGTCCCAGGGTCCAGCGGTGGAGCCTTCCACACACAGGGGCTGGGCGGTACGGGCTGGCGACTTCGCCTTCCAGGGTGTGGCCCGCTCACAGCCGCATCTCCTTGCTCCACCAGGACGACTGGGTAAAATGCAGATTCCCAGATCTCAACCAACTGGCTCTCAATCCTGGTGCCCGTTGGACTGCGGGGCACTTTAGCAATACTAACGTGGGGTCCCTTCCAGAGATCACCTAGAACTAGACGCGGGGCAGCCTGGGCATCGGATTCCTATGTATAGTCAGGGCTGAGACCTGCTGGCTAGAACTTGGCATAAAGGATGTGTCTTATCAGTATGCTTTGCACGCTGACTGTGAGAGCCACTGCCTTAAAGGGATTGTGGTCTGCGCAGCCCACGCATTCATCCACTCATTCACTCATTCATCCTTCATTCCACCTTTGGGTGCCCTCACGAGCTGGCACATGGAACCATAGGGTGGAATCGCTCTGAAGTTTTGGTTCTCTAACTTGCTCATCTTGATTCCTTGGCCCTGCATCACTTTCCACATCAGGAAAGTATTTAACCACCTCCCCAGGTGCTGGGTGTTCTGCTTGCTTCCAGTTTTTCCCAATTAGTCCACGAGGTGGTGGGCATCCTGGGCCAGCCTCCTGGGGCCTGTGGGTGAGACTCCTCTGGGTAGCTCTGCTTGGGAAGGGGGATTGCTGGATCATGGGGTGGGTGCATTTTAGGATTCATTCATTCATTCATTCATTCCACGCCACATGGCTTGCAGGGTCTTAGTTCCCAGACCAGGGATTGAACCTGTGCCCCCTGCAGTAGAAGTGCAGAGTCCTAATCACTGGGCTGTCAGGGAATTCCCACATTTTAGGTTTTAATTGAAACTGCCAAGGTGCCCTCCTGCAGTCTGGTCAAAAGGCCCACGGGTTCTGATGTGCAGCTGACAGGCCCGCTATCCTGAGCATGTTTCATCCCCTTGAGGGGATGGGGTCACAGTGGCTGCTGTTTACTGAGCATCTACTGTGTCCTGAGACCGTGGGATGCACTTACAGAAATCATCCTAGTCCACAAGCATCAGCAAAGCTACACGCGTACCTCAGAAATATTACGAGTTCGGTTCCAGACCACCGAAATAAAGCACGAGTCACAAAAAATTTTGGGTTTCCCAGTACATATAAGTTATGTTTACACTATACTGTAATCTATTAAGTGCAATAACATTAGGTCTTAGAAAGCAATGTACATACCTTAATTAAAAAGTACTTTATTGCTAAAAAATGCCAACCATCATCTGAGCCTTCAGCAAGTTGTAATCTTTTTGCTGGTGGAAGGTTTTGCCTCGATGTTGATGGCTGCTGACTGATCAAGGTGGTGGTTGCTTGAAGATTGAGGAAGCTGTGACAATTTCTTAAAATAAAACAAAAATGAAGTTTGCCATATCAAATGACTCTTCCTTTCATGAATGATTTCTCTATAGTACACAGTGCTGTTTGATAGCATTTTACTCACAGAAGTTCTTCCAGAATTGGAGTCAATCCTCTCAAGCCCTGCCACTGCTTTATCAACTATGTTTATGTAATATTCTAAACCCTTTATTGTCATTTCAATAATCTTCAAAGCATCTTCACCAGGAGTGGATTCCATCCCAAGAAACCACCTTCTTTGTTCATTCATAAGAAGCAATTCCTCGTTCGTTAAAAGTTTTATCATGAGATTGCAGCAATTCAGTTACATCTTCAGGCTCTACTTCTAACTCTGGTTCTTCTGCTATTTCCATCACATCTGCAGTGACTTCCTCCACTGAAGTCCTGAACCCCTCAAAGTCATCCATGAGGGTTGGAATCAACTTCTTCCAAACTCTTCTTAATGTTATTTTGACCTCTTTCTATGGATCACAAATGTCTTAATGACATCTAGGATGGTAAACCTTTTCCAAAAGGTTTTCAATTTTCAGATCCATCAGAGGAATCACTATGTGTGGCAGCTATAGCCTTGTGAAATGTATTTCCTTTTTTAAAAAATAAATTTATTTATTTATCTTGGTTGTGTTGGGTCTTCATTGCTGCATGCAGGCTTTCTCTAGTTACAGCGAGTAGGAGCTACTCTTTGTTGCGGTGTGCAGGCTTCTCATTGTGGTGGTTTCTCTTGTTGTGGAGCACCGGCTCTAGGCGCGTGGGCTTCAGTAGTTGTGGCACATGGGCTCTAGAGTAGTTGTAGCTTGCAGCCTCTAGAGCGCGGGCTCAGTAGTTGTGGCCCACAGGCTTAGTTGCTCCGTGGCATGTGGGATCTTCCCAGACCAGGACTCGAACCTGTGTCCCCTGCATTGGCAGGTGGATTCTCATCTTTTTGCGTTTTTCTTGGCTGCGCTGTGCAGCAAGTGGAATCTCAGTTCCCCAACCAGGGATTGAACTCATGTGCCTTGCAGTGGAAGCACGGAGTCCTAACCACTGGACTACCAGGGAAGTTCGGATTAAGTTCTTATATGGGCACAGTTGGTGGTGCTGCAAAACAATAACAATAGTAACATCAGACATCACTGATCACCATAACAAATATAATAATAATTTAAAGTTTGAAATATTGAGAGAATTACCAAAATGTGACACAGAAGCACGAAGTGAGCAAATGCCGTTGGAGAAATGGTGCCGATCGACTTGCTCCATGCAGGGTTGCCACGAACCTTCCATTTGTAAAGAACGTGATGTCTGCAAAGTGTAGTACAGCAAAGTGCAGTAAAATGAAGTCTGCCTGCATCCCCATTTTACAGTAAAGGAAACTGGACCTCCGGGAGGTTGTCACTCACTGAGGTCACACAACTAGGGACATGCAGGGTTTGAAACCAGGGGTATCTGACAGCAGAGCCCTGCTCCTGCCCCCAGGCCCTCCTGCATCTGTGTTTGCTTGGCTCTGAGTGTGAGGCCTGGTACACATTTCAGGTGGAGGCCAAGCTCGCTGCTCTGCCTACACACCTACCTGGCAGGTGGAGGGCCGTCTTCCAGACCCCCAGTTCCCAGTGAAAGCGTGGCTCCGGGCCCAGCCACGAGAGGCATTTCCTGGGCCACCCGTCAGGCCTGGTGCCTATGCAACTCTGGGAACAGGCCTCGAGCTGCACAGCTTCCCAGGCAGTTTGGCAGCATCCCTGGCAGCTGCTTCCCCATCCCCCAGGCTTTGCCCAGCCCCATGGGGTACCGAGCATCAGTCTCTAAGGGGTTCCCCAGAGCTGGGAGCTCCAAGAGCCAGTAAGGAGCAATGGTCCCGTTTTACAGATGAGGAACTGAGGCCTAAGGAAGAAACTCGTGGTGGTTACAGTGTGTGGGTAGCGGAGTAGAACTCACACTTCCGTTCTTCCCGCCACCCTCCATAGCCTCTGGCTGAAAAACGACTTATTCTCCCAGCCCACGTAGGAGGAAATGGGCTCTGGCTGCATGGCTCTGCCTTGGAGCTGCAGGACGATGGGAGAGGCTCTGAGTTCACTCACCAACTGTAGTTCTGTTCTAAACACACTCTGGACCACCCCGGGGGCTTCTGGGGCCTGTGCAACAGAAGTAGGGAACAGGGGTCCCCAGGCTCCTCCTCTGGGCTCTCACAGCCCCAGCATTCCCCAGCACAGCCCATGTCACGCTGTGTCTCCCCCCCGACTGTGGGCCCAAGGGGAAAAAGCCCCACTTCTGGGGCTTTCACTGCTGGACGCAGAGCAGGGATTCAAGTGTTTCCCAAGAGGATGGCAGGTAGAGAGGACAGGGGGACACTTAGGTCTCTCTGGGGAGGGTTTGGCCCCCAATCCCCGCAGCATCAGCCCCCCCTCATCCGGCTCCTCTCCAGCTGTGGAAACTTGTACCTCAGCCCAGAAAAATGAACTTGCTGGAAGTCAGCTACTTGGATGCCAGGGCCAGCCAATCCGGCGCTGGGGGCACCTCGTTCACCACCAGGGACGAGGGCCAGGGGCTGGACCAGAGGGGCTGCAGGGAGGGCCCTGCCTGAGGCCTGTGCCCAGAGAGAGGTGGAGAGGAAGAAACAGGAAGCCCTGAACGGGTGTTGAAGTGGTGGGGACAGACAGCTGCACGCTCAGGGGGACACCGGCTGCCACCAGTTTCCTCGCTGCACACGGGCACACTGAGCAAGTCTCTCAACCTCAACCCGGCCTCTCGGCATTTTCTCACTTTTTTCTCCTACCCTGCTCCCCTCCCTGTCCCCAGGTAGGTAAGAGCTCCTGAGATATAGATTCTAGAACTCAGACACAGACTCCTCTGTGGCAAGGGCGGGGGCAAACATGAGATGAGGAGTTACACCGAGTACTGCCTTGCTTTGTCCGCATTTTACAGATGAGGAAACGGAGGTTTCAAATGATTAAGTGACATCTTAAAAGCTGTATCTTTTGGCTACTCTGCGATTTGAATCCAGAGCTGTCTGAAGCCTGAGCTGTATTTCCTTTCTCTCCCCTGTCCTCCTCCCCAGTCTGTGCTGGCCTCGACGACTTTGCTCACGTCTCCCGGCCAGACCTTGCACTGTCCTGCTTTTCAGCGCTCGCCCCTCACTCTTCTGAGATAGACTCTCTGCAGCTGGTCCCTCCTCCTCCCATCACCCCACAGAGACACCTGGGGCTCCCTCAGCCACCCAGAAAACTTTTCTGCTTTTGGCCCACGGCCCTGGAGCCAGAGGAAACCCATAAATACAAACACATTTGCATGAAAGCCCAGGGGTCTGCATCTGCAGCTAACAGCTCGGTTTAACTTCCAAGACAGAGCTGCCAGAAGTGGTAGCAGCAGCAGCCAGCTTCCTGGGAGAAACGTGTCCTGATAGCCAGGTCAGTATCAGTTGGTGTTTATTTAGACACACAAATAAAAGAACCTGGCGGTTCAAACAGCTTGTGCTCCTTTTTTTGGGGGGGGGGGGGGGGGTGGGGGGAGGTGGGGAGGGTGTGCGTCATATATATAATATATATATATTTTAAAAGATCATATCACCAGTCCCCCACATTTTTCTCTACTGAGCAATATATACAGCCTATATATATATATATATATATATATATATATGTGTATATATATATATATATATATATATATATAACATATTTTTTTCAATAGATAACTACATTCAAGTAATGAAACACAGGATTTACAATTTCCCTCTGAGGGCAGAGGAAAAGCAAATTCACATACAATTCACAGAGGAAGTACCATGAAAGCCCAGCCAGACAGGAGCTGAGGCCTCTCTGGGGGATGAGGGAGACAGGCAGCAGCAGAAATTATGACAATCACACTGCTGCTTATCGTGGGGGACAGGCAGGTGCCGATGAAGTGGGGGGCCCTGCCTGCTCTGCCTGGGCCAGGTCAGCAGGCCGTGCTGGCTGACCCAGGCTCCCTGGCTGGGGTGGGTTGGGGGCACGTGTCTGGCAACCTCAATTTTCCAGGAGCCTCTCGAATTTGGGGTTCACAAAGGAGAAGCCGGCAAATGCTGCTTGGTCCATGGAGTCGATGAGGTTCTTGTCGCTGTAGGAGAGGCGCGGCTTCTCGTTCAGGAACTCCTGGTCGAAGTTGCTGTAGTCTCCAGCGGACCTCTGCAAGCAGAAGGCAGGGGTGTGTAAGCAGGACCCAAAGGGCAACCTTCCAATGGGTTCCCGACGTTCCAGGGACCCATTCCCGGAGCCATAATCCCTGCTGGGCTGGGCCAAGCCAGAGCTGTCCTTATTTAGAACAGAAAAGGGAGTCTTTCTGCTGGAAGGTAGATGCTGTTACCAACGGAATGAGGGAAGCCAGCAGGGGGCCTGGAGGAGGAAAGGTGGGCATCCACCCAAGCAGGGTTCTAGAAGACCACAGCCCTGGGCCAAAGCCCAGCCACCACCTGTTTTTGTAGGTCCCACAAGCTAAGGCTGGCTTTTGCATTTTTAAATGTTTAGGAAAAAATCAAAAGGAGAATAACACTTCATGACATGTGAAAATTAAATGAAATTCAAAGTTTGGCATCCATAAATAAAGTTTTATTAGTACCCAACCACACCCACTCACTGACATACCGTCTATGGCCGCCTTGAGACTATCTGGCCTGCAAAGCCTAAGATATTTACTATCAGGCTGTTCACAGGAAAAGTTTGCCAACTCTCCGCTTCTGAAGGTACAATGAAGGTACAATGAAAGAGTGATTGAAAGAGGTCTTAAGCTGGTGGCCCTCAGGCCAAACTGAGCTGCAGGTACAACCATTTTGACTAGCCATGGGTTTTAATGGCATTTGAGCCAATATTTTAAAATTGGGCAATTTGGGGCTTCCTTGGTGGCGCAGTGGTTGAGAGTCCGCCTGCCGATGCAGGGGACACGGGTTCGTGCCCCGGTCCGGGAAGATCCCGCATGCCGCGGAGCGGCTAGGCCCGTGAGCCATGGCCCCTGAGCCTGCGTGTCCGGAGCCTGTGCTCCGCAACGGGAGAGGCCACAACAGTGACAGGCCCGCGCACCGCAAAAAAAAAAAAAAAAAAAGGGCAATTTGACATAAAAATCCTGG